AAAAATAAAAAGGAGCCGGGTGATCAACCCCAGCAAAACCTTGTGTTTACAGGAATAGCTGGCCAGTGAAGGCATGCAGCTGGGCCGCTGTCCCTTTCCAAGGGCGCCTACCGTGGTACGTCCAGGCGCACACGCTTTTGCATTTTAGAGTGTGGGCAGAATACTCGCACTGACTGCAAATGTGGGAGGGCAGAATGAACCATGCTATTACAGCGCCTGCTTGGCTGCCAGAGCAATACAGAATGCTGCAGAGTCCAGTATATCTGACTGGCACTTTAAAACAGGTATACAGGTTATCTCAAGAGCGCAGATGCCCGATCAGGCGCACTTCATACATACCGCCGTGGAAATAGAAATAGCTGCCCCAAGCACGCAGGACCATTAGATGTTTGGTTCGACATGTTGGTTCCGAGCCGGCCGATATGCCGACAGCTGCCCTGAACCCCAAAACAAAGCGGAGTTCATTGCTGCTGCACCGTACTTATTAGAGATCTACTGGATCCCTACAGATGGGTGAAATGCCAAGATATTTTATTACCAGTGTGGATCTGGCACATTCAACACTGCAGCGAGTGCAAATGGGTTCTTGAATGAACAGGGAATTGCCAATCGGTTTGCACAAAGGAGACGGAGCGGAATGCCGAGCATGCGATTTCCAACATTCGGCTGTACGAGAACTGGCTTTCAAATGAGCTGATGTCTATTGAGGGGTCATGAAAAGTTAGGCGTCGTTGGCGATGATGTTGTTCTTGTTGTCGCTGGCTCCCATGGCGTACTGCTTGGCAATATCGGCCAGGGACCACTTGTTAATTGCGTACGACGGGTTCTTGACAATGTTGGCAAAGGCAACGCCGATCAGGTAGTGCGGGCGGCCGCTGGGGTGGAACGAGTCGTAGTAGTAGCGGACATTGTCATCAGTGCAGTACGTCTGCGAGCCGTCGGCATGGTCAACAACACAGGGGTTCTTGGTGTCGGTGATGTTGAGGGCGTTCAGAACCACATCCGAGTTGCTGGTGTCCATCAGGTCCTGCATGTCAAAGAACTTGACCTCGGCAGCCTTGGACATGTTGGTCAGCTTCAAGATACCGAGCTTGGCCAGGAAAGCGGCGTTTATGAGCGGCGTCAGAATGCCGGCCAGGGCAGAGACGATGGTTCCGTATTCAGCGACAGCAGGCGCCATGGTGAGGCTGGGGAGGTTGAGGAGATAGATCTTGCGGTAGCCATCGTCAAGCAGAGCCTTGATGCTATCGATCTGGTTCTGCACCATGGTGTCGATAAAGTAGAAGATGTTCATCTTGCCCGACTTGATGTCGTTCAGGGCACCAAACAGGTTGTTGCCACCGCCGTCGATGGCGATGATCGAGTTCTTCTTCTTGTAGTCTGAGACGTTCGTGTTGTTGGCAATAGCCTTCACAGTATCAGTGACGCTGGAATCAGCTGCGTGCGGCCATAGGCAGGGACAAAGTTGTTGTCGTCGTGGAGCCACCGATCGCGTAGTTCTCAAGGTTGAGATCCAGCAGCTTGGCCGAGTACTCGTTCCACATGTAGCTGTTGGCGTAACGGCCGCCCCAGTACTTGGAGTAGTTGGAGTAGTGCGCATGTAGCCGTTGTCCGGAGGCTGTCGCGAAAAGGATAAGGGAAGGGCGTCGCTACCAGTGGTAAAGCTGGGCGGCGTCTGGGCCAATGCAGAGCCAAGAAGCAACGCAGAGATAGGGGCAAGCGTGCTGAAAAGCATGATAATAATGGTGATAAGGAATAGGCTGGGAAGGGAGGGGAGGGGAGGGAGGTAGCGAAGATGAGAGAGGGTTATGCTTAATTCAGGTTGAGGAAAGGGGCGGGGCATGTCGGTTAAATAGGAAGCTTCGCCATGGCGATGGTCCACACCGTGCGTTGAACATGCAGGCTGAGCTCGAATGCGCCCAAACAGCAGTGCTGAAATAGGCGGCATGTCCTCCTCAGAAGTTCGAGGGCTTCCAAACACGGAGCACACCTGAAATAAAAACGGGTACTTTCTCATGGCGCAGGCAGGACCAGTGTCCTATCATATGAAAGGGGTGGCAAAGCTCCAAGGGTTGAGGCTGGAAGGGAGCCCACGTCGATCTCTGCTCCGCCATTTGTTTACTTTACACAAACAACCCTTGGCGCTGGGCGAGTCATCCGTTCGCTCCGCACCCGCCATGTACGACATGGATATTGACAGCACTGCATACTCCGGCCTCCGCCAAATGTGGCAATTAGCACACCTAAAATATGGCAAAACGTGTATTCGTATCACAGCTCAGCCCGAAATGAAAAGGTTAACCGGTGAGGGATTAGCGCCGTTGTGTCCTTAAATTTAAGCGCTGCTGGCAAGAATGTTGTGGTTCTTGTCGCTGTGCGCAATGTCGTACTGCTTGGCAATGTCGGTGAGGGACCACTTGGTAACCGGGTACGACGGGTTCTTGGACAATGTTGGCAAAGCAACGCCGATCAGGTAGTGCGGGCGGCCGCTGGGGTGGAACGAGTCGTAGTAGTAGCGGATATCGTCATCAGTGCAGTACGTCTGCGAGCCGTCGGCATGGTCAACAACACAGGGGTTCTTGGTGTCGGTGACGTTGATGGCACGCAGAACCATAGGCGAGTTGCTGGTGGTCCATCAGGTTCTGCATGTCAAAGAACTTGACCTCGGCAGCCTTGGACGGGTTCTTAAGACGGAGAGCAGTGAGCTTGGTCCGGAAGACAGCATTGAGCACAGGCGTGAGCATGCCGGCCAGGGCCTGGACAGCCGGACCATACTCAGCGAGAGCAGGCGCCATGGTGAGGCTGGGGAGGTTGAGGAGGTGGATCTTGCGGTAGCCGGCGTCGAGAAGGGTCTTGATGCTGTCTATCTGGTTCTGCACCAATGTATCGATAAAGTAGGTGATGCTCATCTTGCCAGTCGACAGGCTGTCCAGGTTGTAGAAGAGGTCGTTGCCGCCACCGTCAATGGCGATGATCGAGTTCTTCTTCTTGTAGTCTGAGACGTTCGTGTTGTTGGCGAGGTACTGGTGAACGATTTCAGTGACGCTAGGAATCAGCTGCGTGCGACCGTAGGCAGGGGCAAACTTGTTGTCGGTCGTGGAACCACCAATCGCGTAGTTCTCGAGATTGAGATCCAGCAGCTTGGCCGAGTACTCGTTTCCACATGTAGCTGTTGCTGTAGCGGCCACCCCAGTACTTGGAGTAGTTCGAGTAGTGCGGCATGTGGCCGTTGTCGCTGAGGCTGTCACCAAAAGATGATCAGTGAGGCGCGCTCCTTGGGAGGCACACACTTGGGAAGTCCAGCGGCAGCCACCGAGCCCAGAGCAAGCGCGGAAATCGGGAAAAGCGAGCTGAGGAGCATGATAATAAAAAATATCGGGCTGTGGTTGTAGAGAGATAAAGGGAAAGCGCGATGAAGAAGGAAGGGGGTGTTCTTCGCAAAAGAGCCGCAAGAGCAGTTGGCTTAGGTTAAATAAATTTGGCCAGCGTAAGCTGGCTTCACTAGGCCTCCTGTGCAACTACAGCACGGCCTCCTTCCAATAACGACACGGAAGTGAGCGGTGGTTGTATTCACGGTGAATCCCGAAGGAACTAAATAAGGAACTAATCTGGAGGGAAACGGGGACTATCTCCTGACGCGGCATATGGAAACAGCGCGCTGTCGTTAATGGGGATAAGAGCTGCCTGAAAATCGAGCCTGAAATCAGGCCGCCGATCATCCGCCCAGTGTGATTTCGAAACGACTACATAACAAATTGAGAAGCGGTCCCCTCGGCCCCGAGCAATCGGTATGCGTGGCATGTATACCGGGCGCATATTATGTCTAGGGCGTTTCCAGTGATCGGGTTCCAGCCCACATGTACTAACTGTTTGTATTAGATGCGGACAGTGGCATGTGGCGTCTACTGCCATACCTCACGGGCTGCTGGCAATGATGTTGTGCTTGTTGTTGCTCTTGGCAACATTGTACTTTGCCGCCAGATAGCCCAGGTTCCTGATGTCTGGTCTGAAGAATGGGTTGTGGACAGTGCTGGTAAAAATGAGACCGAGCATGTACTGGATGCGGCCCGAGGTATGGAAGTCGTCGTAATAGTAGCGGGTATCAGGATCAGTGCAGTAGATTTCAGAGCCGTCCTTGGCGTAAGTGATGCACCAGTCATTGCCCGTTGTGATGTTCAGGGCGGCAAGACTCTGGCTTGGCCATCAGATCATAAGCGCTGCCAAGGTCAAAGAGACTGACCCTAAAGGAGCGCGGGCCATGCGTCCAGAACAGGCTCCTCAGGTCCCTGCGAAACGCCGTATCGAGCATTGGTGCCAGTGTCTGGCCCAGGCTAGTGACGCCGTATTCAGCAATTGCTGGAATCACATCGAAGCTGGGCATGGTGAGCAGGTAGATATTCGGGTAGCCGGCATCCAGCAGATTTTTCACGTTGTCGAACAGATTGTTGACCAGGGTATCAACAAAGCCCTGCATGTCGATACTGCCGTCAGAAAGCCCGCCCAGGCTGTAGGACAGCGAATTACCGCCACCACCGCCAACTACAACGATCGATGAGCGCTTCTTGAGTGTGGGTGTATTGGTGTTGTTGGCGAGGTACTAGGCGATCATGCCGGTGGTGCTTTGAATTAGCTGGGTGCAGCCGTAGCCGGGGACGAACTTGCTGTCGTTGGTGGAACCGCCAATGACCCAGTTTTCGAGGTTCAACTTCAAAAGTTTGGCAACATATTTGTTCCACATGTAGCTGTTGCTGTAGTGATATGTGCTGCCATTATCGCTCTGGCTGTCGCCAAAGACAATAAGAGAAGAGCCGTACGAGCTAGGGCTAGTAGCAGGCAGTGAGTCCTCAGTGCCGGGCATAGGCATAGCCTTCACAGCTGACGCTGCGAGGACGAGTGAAGAGATTCGGTTTTGGAGAGAATGTGGATGAAAATAGAAGGGGATGCTGTGGATTTACGGGGAGTGGGTAAAAGTAGCTGCAAACAATCTGTGTGGAACAAACATTCCATGTGGACCGCAGTCTCAGTCTGGTTTTTGATACTGGCCAGGATGCTCTTCGCCCCACCCTTCGTAGCTGACAAGGGATCCAGTGAATCGACAGGCGCAAGCTGCTATAAACCCAGGACCCAAGCAGCCAAAGAGATTCTATTCGACAACTGCCTACCCAGATCTCTGCACTAACAGTCTAGCGCATTTGCCAGTTAACCCAAGAGACGTGCCTGGGGCCGGTGTTGAAACAGTCCGTTGCCGCCGTCATTGCCAATCATGCAGCGGTTCAGTGGCTGAGAAGGCAATCCATCCGGATCCAATACCGGCATTTCCTTGCCCCTCCGTCTGCCTGAGACTTGTCGTGCGGCAATCCCCCGCCATACCAGCCAGTAGGCAGCATATTTAACGTGCAGCGGCTGTGGATGATCAGTCTTGTATAGCGCAAACAGCCATAGTTGACTGGTTTTGAAATAATAAATTGTTGGGCACAATATTGAAGGCCAAAAGGACATTCCGTGAAACGAGCAAGGCAAATGTTGCCCATGCTTGACACGGAGTTGGTGACTGCATATCGCGGACTAGCCCAACCCATGTCTGTTGCACAAGTGGCTATCAAACTACCCCCTTGATACCATGGCAGGCCTTCTGGCGCTCGGATAGTTGCCTGGCTGTGCTGAAGCGGAACAACGAATTTGCCGACAAGCAGCGATCAAGCCGATGCTCACGTGACGGCGGTCGTTGAAGTTGATCATCTGATTTTGATCGAGATCACCTGCTCGAGATAAGCGCGATGCGCTCATTTTTGAGGTCTGAATTTTAGTGGGCTCCAATTCCGACAGCATTTCCAACTCTTCTCAACATCATACAGCACTCCCTCTATATTCAAAATGTTCGCGTCGATTCGTGCTGCCACATTCAGTCACCCGTTCGCAATCTGGGGTCTCGGTCTCGGTTTTGGAGGTAGCGCATCGTGGGCAGAAGTGGCTGCTCAACAGGAGCCAAAAGGAGCGTGCACTGTCGAAGCAGCGATATGCGTGCTTGTAGGCAGCTCCCTGACGAAGCCCATATACCACTATGACTCGTGTTTGCTCAATTCATTTGCCTGTAGGTCCCGCTCTGGTTCTCCTTGTGCCGCCCATTCGTCAGAAGCTCGGTTTTGTTGCACCCAAGGCCGTCCCGACCAGCTATCCTCGTAAGTAGAAGAGGGTTTAAGAATGGACAGAAGCCAGGTAATCATTGCAGCCACCCCATGTATTACTAACCATACCAGTATGCCTGTAGTCCCGAACCGTCCCCGGCGCGCAACCACTGGCTACGAGGACTAGGCGAGAAAGTAGATTGTAACTGTTTATTAAATACACCACAACGCAGTTTTAGAAAGCCTGGACACTGTGCAGAGTAATTCACAATCTACATAACATAGCAAGGTATCTGTATGTGTCGGCGGATCAGCACAGTACAATGAGTCTGACGTGTGGCTTCTGAAATCGTGATTCCGGAATGCTGGTGATGAAGGTATATTATAATTGCCGTGGAAGAGTAGAGAAAAGGAACGAGATAACTATATATACGAGGGGGGATGCTTTCACAGCAGCGTGTTTAGGCCCACTTGCCGATGACTGCCATGATGGCCGCGCCCACAAACATGGCAATGAAGCAGGCAGCCTTCATGCCGCGCTTGTAGCTGCGGAACTCGAGGGTGCCAAACTCTTCAGCAAGCAGATTGACCAGGCCGCTGTAGATCAGGATGCCTGCCGAGAGGCAGTCGAGCACACCCATGGTGATTAGCGACGAAGGCGAGTTGGGCGCGTACGAGTAGCGGACGCCAATACCGATGCACATGCCGATGGGGGTAATGAGCATGAACATGGCAGCGCTGACAAAGGCGCGGATGAACGAGTGGCGAGCGTATTTTATCTGTGCCAGACGACTGCCCAGCGCCAGACCTTCGCAGAACTGATGGAATGCAATGGCGATAAGCAGGGTCTTAAACTCAGACCCCACTGTCACCGACAGGGTGACCCCGATGATGACGGAGTGTAGGCAGATACCGAGCTCGAGGATATAGGTAGAGATGCGGATCTTGCGTGCCTTGATCGAGTCCTCGCTGCCGCCGACAAACGACAAGCCATGGACGTGGTTGTGGTGTGTGTGGACAGCCACTGCATCGCAGTTCTCGTTGTTCTCGGTAGTGTCAAAGCCGACGGACTCATGCACTGGCGGCGTCATGCCAGACTTCTGGTCGACCTCGCTGATGGTGGTAGCGTTGGAGCTGTCGTTGAGGTGGCTGTGGTGGTGATGTTCGTGCGCCATGATCTGCGACTCGAGGTTCAGCGGCTCGGGCTCTGCAGAGTAGACCAGATCGCCGGGAAGCCCGTGGCTGTGCGAGTGGCCATCCATGGTGTGGTTGGACAGCAGGAACTCTATCAGATGCATAGCAAAGATGGCCATGATCACCAGCACGCCCGGCCAGCCGCTGTAGTTGCCCATGCGGCTGCCGACGCACGGATTACCGAGGCTGTCGGAGCCAGCCGGCAGCATGTGGATGAGCGCGGTCGAAAATGATGACGCCGGTTCCCAGGAACTTGCCCAGGGTCAGGATACTCGGTGAGACGCGCAGGCCGGGCATGTACTGGCTGATGACGGGGAGCATCGAGCCCAGGCCGCCGACGCCGAGGATGATGAAGATGGCGGCGATGTGCATGCTCGAGCTCCAGTCATCGACGCCCGACGCGTAGCAGTCAGTCTCCTCCTCGCTGTGGCTGTGATCGCCTACAGAGTGGCGAAGCAATAGCTGGCGTGGTGCAGTGGTGGCAGCGGCAGCAGTATGCAGGGACACCAGGCTGATGGCGGCGAGTGCCAGCAGCGGGCTGATATTCTTTCTGAAGGGCATAGCGACGATTATGACGATGTGTTTCCGGGGGACGGTAGCTTTGCGAGAGGACGTGTTCCAGGGGACAGGCACTACCAAACACTTTTACGAAGGGGCGGATTATTAATTGCCCCGCAGAAAGAGATGAAAAAATGGTGGGAAAAGAATAAACTAGTGAAATCGGAATGAGGACCTCATCCGTGGTGGTTGGGCGCTCCTCTTTTATGCCGTTGCCTGCCAGCGTTCGGGAAGCTGGCAAATTTTTCTCCCCTATTCGGCCAGCTCGTCCTGTGTACCTTCGCGGCACTGGCAGACCGTATAATAACAGAGCTTTCTGGCTTGCCACGCCAATCTCTAGGCGCATTGCAGAATAGTGTGCGACCCGTCTGAAAAGCGAAATTTGAGAGGCGAGGAAGCACACGCTGATGACACTGCTGGCCAATGGGCGCGCAGCCAGGCCCGAATTATGCAGGCTGAAATTGGCAACTAGGTAAGCAGAAAAAATAAAACAAAAAAGCTGTGCCTGCCCCAAGTGCGCCAGTGGGCGGCGCATTGCGGTTGGCTGCAGGCCGCAATAACCGGCAAGGTACATG